AGAATACACATCGGATTTCCTTGTCAGCCTTCCATTGTTGTAATAATCAGGATCCATATAGCCAAAAGTGCCTTTAACACTTGTGCTGAGATAAGGCTTTGATTGATTCGTTGGGTCTACTTTCGACAACCCAAAGTCTGTAATTTTAGCTTCCCAACTTTCTTGTAGCAGAATATTTGAGCTCTTGACATCGCGATGCATGACCCCACCCTTAATCCCTTCACCAGTGTGAAGGTACTGTAATCCACGAGCGACACCTATACAGATCTTGAGTCGCTGAAGCCAAGAAAGAGGGGTACCAAGTATATGGAGATGATCGTGAAGTGCTCCATTGGGCATATATTCATAGACAAGGTTCATCTCGTTTTCATAATTACAATAACCAATCAAAGACACAATATTATTATGCCTCAGCCTAGAAAGCATTCTAACTTCGGTTCGAAACTCAGCTGCTCCTTGATAGGACATGGTATCGTACCTTTTAATGGCAGCAACGACAATATCTGATCCATTGACAATATTACCTTTGTAAACTTTTCCAAATCCCCCATGCCCAATTACTAATGATTCGTCAAAGTCGTTGGTTGCTTGCTGAATCTCCAAAAATTGGAACTGACGACATGGTTGTAAGGAGAAGGAGGAGGATGGTGGTTGAGACTCAATGCCATCGACGGTATTAAAGAACATAATTATGATGAAGTAGAAGTAGAAGTAGAAGTAGAAGAAAGAGACTGAAATGGTTGGTCGATGCAAAGATGACGATGTTAAAGCATAAAAGTAAACCTGCAAAATGATTATCTTCTTCTAGAAAGGGAAATGGGGCCAGACATATTATAGACTAAACTACAAATTTGGTCCATAAGGTTTGGTGGTTATAACACTTTTGGTCCCTATATTTTCAAAAATCCAAATTTGCCATGTGGGCATGCAAAAATAACCACATGTTGAAGGGGCAAACGTGTTCTTTTCGAACCCAACCTAAGAACACCTCTCCAAAACCTTCTTCACCCAAGTTCTCTCGTGTCCGGAAAGATATCAGTATTACTGGCACTTTAATTGTTGTCCTTGGTATTAGTTGATGGCTTTGAATCACCTGAGCTGTAATATATGAATATAAACAGATTAGGTAATTAACCATTATTTTAACTTCTCCACCACCATAAAGTGGTTCTTCCTATTTATTTCGGGTTAGTACCCAATCAGATGTTTGTTCCACTAGGTTTCGATATGACTAATAAGAATCATCCAGTTTGCCTATCTTCAAACTTTAGGTGTTGTTTGGGATTGTTTATTTGAAACAACTTATGTTTTTCTACGAAAGCACTTATCAACTTATTATAAGTCAAAAGGGTTTAACTTTTTCAAAAACTCCTTATTACTGGTTTGACATCGATATAAGTTGATTATTAAAACACTTAAAAATGCTTATTACTGGTGTCATACCGAAATAAGTCAATAAATTGTTTTTATAAACAATCCCAAACACCATGTATGACTGACTGTGTGAATAAAACGTCACTGACCATATGCTACTGGCATCATTATAATGCTACTGCAAGTATGCAATATGCATTATGAACCAATTTGAAGGGTCACATCCATTGACATCATTCCAATACAAGTTATTTAGGTAAACAGTGTCTTTATTCACACACCTCCAGGCTTTAGGCAAGCCCTATCAACTTGAAGGCTATATTGTTAATGCAGTTAAAGCTGTTAATGCAGTGAAATGGTGGTACTATAGCAGTTAGTACCGGCGCTAATCACCGATGTCGGGCCGTGATTTTGATTTGCAATAGCAGTGTGAATACTGAGATTACGGTTTGGGCTTTTAAGGGGCTTAGAGAAGTCGATTAAGGGATGACAGACTAGGGAGCTGATTTTGATATGCAATATTGGTGTGTAAACCCGCTATTCCTCTCTCATCTCTTCTATTCCAGCATCATGCATCATCTCACTCTTATGCATCTTCTCTTCACATCAACATCGTCTTCCAGCATTGTTTGCTTGTCATCTCTTTCTACTCATGTGCTCTTCTGTTCATCCTTAATAATAGTTCAATATATATAATACTTTGTGTATACATACATACATTTATATATAATTGTAAATTTTGTATGAACCATTGTTTTTGGACCGTTATACCACCATTGCGATAACCACTGTGTCAAATCACGGTCCTGACTGCTATTTCAGATTTTTGGTCATATATAGCCTATTTGAGAAACTCGGATATACATAGTTCCAAGAGGAAGACAACGAGAAAACCTTATTAAAATTCAGTTACTACAACCACCAACTTTTGGAAAGAGAAGAATGTGGTAAAGAACACTAAAAGGAACTATGATTGACAAAATATTGCACCTACAACTTTCCTCAAGAGTGGATGAACCAAAGAATCTTCCTTCATTGACACATATGCAATATACTAAGATTGTAGAGAACATAAAAACAGTATAAAAGTACTACTATGGAGGTTGTCACAAGCACCCCAAGTACACACCGAACTAATGACAGTTGGTGGTGGAACGGAGCACATGGATGCTCACAAATTTGCTAATTCCCAAGTGATCAGCTTGAGAGCTTTAAACCTGAACTATGGAAACAAGTTATTGAGCATAGGTAAGGTTGACACCGAAGTAGTAGAATATCAAATTGTCTTTAGTTCTAGAGACATCCATAGCAGCAACCACCATTTTCTTGATTAGAAGACCAATGGAGATATCTATGGATGTAAAAAATCTTATATGGCGTTTAGTGTCTTCCAAAGGTATATCATGATATGGTGTTAAAGGAAGTGATCACGTGAGAAGTAGTCCTTACAACAAGTAAGAAAAATGTTGTACGGTTCTAACCGATATTGTTTTCAATGGATGAGACTAGGCAAGATGTTTACACAAAGGTGGTGGATATGATGTGGCTTGCTGAGTTGGTTATCATAAATGATGATGATTCACCTTACAGCATGGATTTTAGTTCAACATTAGTTCCAACAGAAGTTACATTCTCTTATAACCATGATCTCTAAGGCATTGCACCTACAACTTCTCAATTAGTTAATTAGGATTTCTACCTTGTATTAATTTGGATCATTATGACAAAGCTGGAGAGACTATAATTACATAGTGGATTAAATGGCAACGATTTGGAAGAATAACGTTGAAGATGAAAACGAGGCGTTAAAAGATGGCAATAATGGCAACTATGATTTCAGAAGAATAATGTTGGGCCACCAAAGTACATGTACAAAAAATGAGCGTAGTAGAAATGTGGATGCTGGAATAGATGCGGGACCGAACAATGAGGGATAGTTCATAGGATTAGATGTGGAAGCATACAAGAGAAGGTTGGAGTGGCACTAGAAGTAACACAACTTAAAATGGTTTGCTCATATCCAACGATAGACCTTTGTATGCACTGGTTTGAATAGGAAATTTTACCAAAAAGGCCATAATGGTCGGGTGAGACTGAAGGGAGAGAATTAGTGAAAATAGGGAGCTGAATATATCAAAGGAGTTTGCGTTAGAAGCTTGTGGAAAAACCAATCCCCTCTTTATGTTTTCTTTTGGCTTCCGGTGCTTTATAGTTTCTTTTGGGGAAATTTTATCCTATCCCAAATAGCAAGGCATGAAGCATTTTGCTGTAAGATACACTTAATATACCTCAACTAAATGTGAATATAATCATAACTATGCTAATCATAGTCGCTGATATAACTTGAGTAAATGATAAAAAACGATGAAATAGGCCCAAATTAAGACTTTTAAAGGTTGAACCTAATTGGCAAAGCAGAACCATCTGAAATGGTAAGAAAACTATTAACTGATTGATGCAATTATCTGGGTGAAAAGAACGAGATAAAAGAACAACAAAAAGCAAGTTTGACAAACAAAATAAGGTTTTCGCCTTTGTTGAC